AAAGTAGTGGGAAGTGATGCAGAAGAATACAAGGGGAGCACTAGGACTTTGATGCTCACTTGCTTAACTGTAGTTTTAGCAGCAGGTTTACCATGGTAGTAAAGAACAGCAATATAACTAGAAAAGTCACTTCAGACCTCTTGTTTAGTCTCGGATTCCTGACACAATTTTTAAATCTTTGTCAGTCTCCGACTGCCTGTGGGTTAGATTTCTCAGTAGACATACTATAGTTCTGTCTGATATAGGCTGTAATACTCCTTTCCAGCAAATTTCTCATCAGTTTTCTTAACACTAGATCTATATTACATGCTGGCAGATACTATTACATGGTGTACTACCATGTTCTGTGCTACTGTGAGCACTGTGCAGAACACAGTCCTGTTCAATGCCTTTGGACTGAATGCTATTAATGCAGGTTGAATCTTCTTACGTGCTTCCTTTTCTCCTTACCCATTATGAATCTCCTTTGTTTTCATATTCCCTCCATTTCCCAACCCTCTTCAGGTTTTCTCAGATCCTACAGTGATTTCTCTGTTTTTCAATTATCACCTGCATCAAAAATTTATTTTTTACTTAGTTTCTTCAAGCCACTTAGGCATTTATGCACTGCAGTGTCCCACTAATGATAGGTTGTGTCTGCTTGTAACTGCCAAGCCAGCCTACACACAATGAAGAGGAGCTTGACCTGACATCCAGTCTGGAAAACCTAGCACCAACTACCCTTCTTGATGTTTGCATCTGCCATCTCTGTCTGACTGTATTCTAGCCAGAAGGACAAAAAGTGTTCCTTAAGCTATATGCAGGAAACATATATCCTTTTAAAATAAGAGGCTCACTAAAGGAGAATCACAGAGTTATTAGGAGCAGTTTATTAGGTATCTCTTTCTGATTCATCTTTTTCTTCCATGGAATTTTCTTACTTTAGGCTTAGAGAATGACATATTCATTTGCATGCTCATGTGATAATAAATTAGCTGCCTAAATCTCTGCTTCCTAGTCTACTGAGAAAATAAGAGATATGGTCATTAACATTTTATGCAGCCTCTGGATGGAAACAATATATCCAGAGTCAACAAACAGCTCTTAGAATTCAGTACTGAACTCTTTAACTGCCTAAAATTAAACAGGTTTCCTTAAGGCTTGCTAGAAAAAAAAAAGTGCTATGGCCAGGGATTCCCTTGAGTTCAGATCATCATAACAGAGTCATTCTCATGGCTGTAATTCTCTTTGTGCACTTACAAATGGCCTGATTTGTGGCCATGATGGAGTTAAATGCAGCTGCTAACATACTTAGGGTTCAAGGGTCTACAGTCTTAACTATGGACAAATCCTGGGACGGCTATTTAGGGCTTTTTTTTTTTCCTGTTGTGTTTTTTCTTTGTTTGTTGGTTAGTTTGGGTTTGGGTTTTTTGTTTGTTTTGTTTTATTCTGTACAGTTCATAAACATTATTCTGTTTACTAATAGAAATTCCTGCTCCAGTCCTAATTAGATCCTCAACAGTTTCCTGGATTTGTGACTTTCTTACTATTTTCTTATGAAGAAGAATAGAAGTCCATAAAGGGACAACGTTGCCACCGCTCCTGATTACTAGAACCTCTGTTTCATGTTAGCTGCTCCAGCCCTTGCCTTGCTTCTCTGCAATTCGTTCAATGCTCCTCTGAGTTTCTCATGTTCATTGATTGGAGATGGTTTCTAGAAGTACTCTAAAAATATTGAGAAGGAATGGCATACTCCAGCCTTGGCTCTTGAAGCTATTTAGCCCTGTATTTCTGTCAGTTTGAATTACATGATTCTTATTTGATTTTTTTTCCTGATCCCTGGTATCAAATTTGAGCATCTGGTCTTCTTCTGAGAAGTTCTTTGAAGCTTCATGTCGTTTATATTTCTACTTTCATGTCTGTTTCCCTTCCTTCTATTTTCTTCTGCCAACCATTCCCTCCTTCTCTGCCTGCCCACTTGCCTTTGCTTTTCCTTTGATGTTTTACTTACACATGAGGATTCTCTCTCTTGCTTTCCAGCTGTTTTTATTTTTTGTCTTCATGCAGATCCCTGGCTGAAGCACAGCTCCATATTGTCCTTTAAAAAAATTTCCTGCAAATAAATTATTTAGACATACACATATATGTGCAAATCTTGTAAAATAGCTGTTGGTTCCAAAAGTACTTTCTATTTCTGACTTTATTTTACTTTTTCAAAGCCATAAGGCCCTGCTGGTGGTAAAATCCATTGTCCTCTGAAGAAGGTAACAATTTTATGTAATAAATATTTTCTTTCTCGTGCACCAGTACATAATTTTTTCTGTGAAATGCGAAAACCTTTATTTGTGAGTGGGAGTAGGATGCCCCACAGTGTTATAAACAGGAAAAATTGGTTAAAATAATCTACTAAGCAGTTTGATTGGAAGCTAATAACTGATTTGAATATTCCTTAATATAACCGATTAGATCACACCTTAAACTTTTGTCTAAGGACTTGGATACATCTCTGTAAAAGAGATTACATGTTCTTTCACCATCAGTGACCAGATATAGATTATTAGTGCAATGACCCAAAAGTATAAAAGTCCTGTCTTCATGAAAGAACAGTTATGTAATTCTGCTTTCTAGCAGTGTCACTAAGCAGAACACAAAATGTTTCTCACTGTCTACAGGTAAAAGAACTTAAAATTCTACAATTCATAGCAAAAGATTTTACAAACATCTATCTAAATGTCCATAACACAAACACCCTGCAATTGTTTTCTAGAGAGAAAACAAGAGAAGCCAGCAGGTTTAATTCTAATATGTACTTCAGAATTGTAATACTATCTTTGCCTTATCACTATTCTATCAAACCATTTGCACTATGTAAATGCATCTAAATCACCAATCCTGCATCTAATTCAATAAAAAATCACAACTGACTTAATCTATAGTCTCATTCTAACTTAGATTAATGGTTGATATAGGCACATGAAAGCATTCATTATCCTATACCATGGGGAGCCCATGTTCTTTCAAGGTAAACTATTTCAGTTGTTAATTATCACCACCATTAAAGAGTTTTCCCTAATGTCTATCATAAATCTCCTTTGATCTAATTTAGCCTCGTTACTTCTTGTCCTGTTCACTGCAGATAAAAGGAACAAATAATTCCCGTTCCCTTTGCAGCAGTCCGTTCCATGTGTAAGTTTTTGCACTTAAGGTCGTATTTTCTAAGCCTCTCTGTCTTTTGGTTGCAGGCAATGATTTTCCTGAGCATTTTTACACTTAAGTGTAATAATAAGACCTTCTGCAAATTTGGAAACCAAGAGATAAAATCTTTCATGCAAGGCTTAATCCAAGTTGGCTGCATAGTAAATGTTAGAAGTGCCTTATGATTCTTCACATGAATCTTACCTAGAACAGGAATAAAACCTTATAAATGTTTGTAAACATATTTTTCCTGAATGAACAGAAATCAGATTCCATGATTATTAAAAATAATATATCTTTGGTAGTCTGACCTCAGTATCTGCCAGTCTTCTAGTAATTAAAATTGTAATAAACTGATAATTAAAGTTTTACTAAAACAATTTACTAAACAATTAGTACTTGGGTACTTGGGTGGTTCATGAGGGAACAATGCGTCCCAAAGAGTCCTCCAGCCAAGAAAGGAGAATCAGGAGGCAGGGAGTGGTTGTAGCTGGAGATTTGACCCTTTACCAGGAACACAGGTCCAAGCAATGAAACAGCCTGCTGCCCTGCTGATGGCTACTGCTTGCCACTGCCCACTGATTCGGAGAAATCACCACCACTACCCACCTCCATCCACCCTGTCCCCATTCACTGGTAAATAAAACTAGTAACTCATAGATTTGCCAAGCTGCAGTGGAACAGCATTCTCCTCTGTTAGACATCAGCAAAAAAGCAAAAGTGAATTGTTCAGACCACAGCATAAAGTGATAATGTGTGCAGAAGCCCACAACTGCTAAACAGTGTTGCTCAAAGGATTACTTGGTAGTGAGAGCTGACAAAAAGACCAATGTCTGAGAAAGAAGGCATTGCCATGCCAGCAAAACCTTCCCAGTTAATCACAAAACCTTCTCACACAAATATAGTGGTATTTTCTACCTGTCTTAAATAGAAAAGATAGGTACCACTGTTGCCCTTGTTAATAGTTCATTCACACTACAGTGAGAAGGAAAGTCCAATCAGATGAAAAGAATTAATATGTTTCCATGGTGCTCAGAAAAGACACAGTTTTTCTGATTATGTGCCAGTGAGTACTGCTATGGAATGTCAGAGAATGTAGAAGAGGTGCGGAACACAGTCAAAGAAATTCCGGTGACACGTGCAAGTAGAGATGCACTGACAGCAAAAAATGTGATAAGCTGAGATGGCCTTGGTGTACGGATGATCAGACCTGGGAGAAGTTGTGCCAAAACCCTGTGTTAGTGTTTTAACTGCACTTTGCAAGTAGAGTCATACACCAACAGGCCGAATACCTCAACAGGCTACTAGCAGACCTAGATAAATGCTAACTGGCTACCAGCCTAGGCTAAAATCTTATATATGATTTAGCAAAGATTTAGTTGATGCTTTAGCCTTATCTGGAGAGAACACATGACTTTTCACACAAAGCTGTAGGAGCATGGGACTGTTTTATATACAGCAGAATCAAAGAAAGACAGGAAGAATGAGACAGGCACATTTGTCAGTAAGGGAGTGTACATTAAGGAAACAATGCTGCTCTGTAATGCCCACAATAATTACAAAGATGAAAAGGTTAGTCTATTAGTGTGCTAAGATATATTGAATACTTTCTTTGTAAAGAAAGTAAGGTAGGGGAGAGGAGTTTTTAAGATTTGTGTTTTATTTCTTATTATCCTACTCTAATTTGATTGATAATATATTAAATCAATTTCTACAAGTCAAGTCTGTTTGCCCATGACAGTAATTGAGTGATCTCTCCCTGTCTTATCTCAACCCACAAGCCTTTTGTAATATTTTCTTTCCCCTGTCCAGCTGAGGAGAGGGAGTGCCAGACCAGCTTTCGTGGGCACCTGGTATCAATCCAGAATCAATCCAACACAATAAGTTATTACTCATGTTAAGAAAATCATAAGAAGGTATAGAAGTATTTTGTTCAAAACTCATTAAAAAGTGCGTTTATTGATATGTGAACTGGGGCTAAGGCTCGAGTTCACATATTCATCATATAAAGTTAATGGCCAATTTAAAATTATAAGGAATCTGGAGTTTAAAAACTTTGGAGGTTGGTATAGTTTTTTAACTTTAGTCTATGATTTCCAAAAGTTTTAAATAGGCATAGATTTGAGAGAGGGATTGAATGATAATTTATTTTAGGTGAAATTTAAAAATCTTTAACTGTAACATAAGAATTCAGAGAAGTTTCTATTCTTTTGTTTAAGCAACAAAAATAGAAGCTAAGCATTAGCAGAAAGGAATCTGACATGCACCAAATATATCTGAGCCTTCTAGTCAAATACATGCTAAGATTTCATGTATTCTAATCACATTAGTTATCCTCATAACTGAATGATATCTTCTACCTCAGGCTATTAGTGGCTGTGTCATTTCTGACACTAGCCTGTCATGTCATCTCAGACAAATTATACATCAAACAAATTATATCCCAGCATTAGTATTTGGTTGAAGTAAACAAGTACCTGAAGGGGGCCTATAGGGATGCTAGGGAGGGACTCTTCATTAGGGACTGTAGTGATAGGACAAGGGGTAATGGGTTCAAACTGAAACAGGGGAAGTTTAGATTGGATATAAGGAGGAAATTCTTTCCTGTAAGGGTGGTGAGGCACTGGAATAGGTTGCCCAGGGAGGTTGTGAATGCTCCATCCCTGGCAGTGTTCAAGGCCAGGTTGGAGGAGGCCTTGAGTGATATGGTTTAGTGTGAGGTGTCCCTGCCGATAGCAGGGGGGTTGGAACTAGATGACCTTAAGGTCCTTTCCAACCCTAACTATTCTATGATTCTGTTTGTTGGTTTTTTTTTTAATTTTCTTCTATATTCTTTGAACAGCTATTTATATTCTTCATCATGCTGTTTGTTCAAAGCTACCATGTATATTAAAGAACTCTGCCATCCATAAGATAGATAATGCAAATCAGCCTGACTCAAATGCTCAAATTAAAACAGTTTATGTTGGGAATTTCAAGATGTGGATCTACTTTCTGAAGCTGGGATCCCCTCTTAGGACATAGGTGGCTTTGTGGAAGTGGGGAAGAAAACAAAGAATCAAGCCAGAATAAGCTGTTAGCCAAACACAGCCTCGGCTCCTGCCACCAGCTGAGTTCACTGAGAGGAAGGAGAAATACAAGATGCTTCCTTTCTTGCATGCTTTATCACAGGGGTAGGTCAGGTAGACCACACATGAAAGTAAAGTCCTGAGCATGTCATGAAACTGGATCAGTTCTCAAAAGAACAGTAAAGTAAGCCTTTTTTTCCCCTGGCCAAACATTTGGGTAATTAAATTCTGAAAGTCCTGCAGTTTCAGCTGCATTTGAAGTAGAAGATACTTTCAGGAGTCATCTTATTGATTAGAAGAAACATTTTTTAAAAAATGACAGAAATAATATGATTTCCCCAGATTAAAATCAAACCATAAAACTAGATTATCAAGGTAAAACTAGATATAACTAGGTTGTCAGGGTGACATTTTCTGAATTAACTGTAGTCAGACTAACTTCCCCAGCATTACTTCAATATTTGATATTTATTGAAAAATTCTGTTTTCTTCCATCACACATTTCTTCTACAAAGATGAAAACAAAGAAAACATCTGGACCCTTCAACAGGAATTTTCTTCTAGGTTCCTGTATAAAATACTTGTCTGTTAAGTCCTACCTTCTCAGAATATCTATCCTACTAAACGTTCTGCCTTTACTAGCATTAGCTTTCTTATTCAAGGTTCTTTTATTACCTTAAGGAAATCAGAAATATCTTTATGAAGTGACTCTCCATTTGGGCTTAGACATCAGAAGAGTTACATTTTAGCCATTTTCAAAGATCATTTTTATGGTTTAAACAGGTCTAGGAAAATGTATGAGTTATAGTAAAAAAACCCCCCAAAAACAAACAAAAAAGATAATTTCTGCCGGGTGAGGTATCTTACAGAAGTAAGAGATAATTTTTATTTCCATTATTTTCCTTATATTAGGCTGGCATCTCCTTGGGACAAGGCTCATTATCTGAACGTGTCTCAAGTACAACATTGACCTGAAACTTGATTGGACAGCTTTAGCTGATCCTTTTCAAACAAGACTCTGGAGACACAGAAAGTGTGGCCTGCAGCTAGAATCTATCATTACTCTACAAATGTGTTCAAAGAAAAAGATCCACACCCAGTCTGCCTAGTTGCAACTGCGCTTTTCTTATTGCCCTGGCTGCAAACTTCAATAAAGGAGCAGTATTTAAAAATGGATTCTCTTATCTCAGAGTACAGGTCATTTTACACCTGGAGTAAGTCTATTTATAGACAGTAAATTATTAACTAGCATATTTTCATAAGTTTGATTCACTAGCCCACTCTTTTCCAGGTAGCTTGTACTAACAATATCTTGAGTCCTCAAGGTGCCAATCTGAATCATCATGTCCCTACCTGCCTAATCTCCATGTACATTCAGATAATTGACAGTACATTTGGCTTGCTGTCCTAGTTGACTTTTGTTTGTAAAATGCTCAGATAACCTTTGAATGCAGAAATTATAATTACAATAGAGAAACCTGCCTTTTGCAATGTTTTGGTCTTTACTGTATATGTTTTTGAATCAACTTCATGTTCTATATGGAAACAGTCCAAAACCAGCAATGTTGTCTCTCTTAAATGAGTGGTAATACAGGTGACCAAAAACTTTTAAAGATAATATTTATGTCACAAAGCATGTAAATATGAGGCACTGAAAGCTATAAAGTTGCCTAAAGCAATAAATATTTTGCAAAGAGACTCAGTATCTATGTTTCTCCCAGGCTTACCTCAGAGACAATTTCATATGCAAAAATATAAATTTTAATTTCACCTAAAAGTGAATAAAAGTCTATTTTCTCACTTGTGCTGTTTTGCTATAGAGGAAAAGACTTTTTTCCTCTGCCAGGGAGGTTTTTTTTTTCACTAACACCCAGCAAAGGAAGAACAGATAAAAATGCAACATGTGCACAAGAAAAAAAATCCTTTTCCACATGTCAGCCTGAAATATATCAATCTCTCTTTGTGGCAGTGGGAAGTGAGAATTTATTTCAGTAGATCTGCATTTAGAAAACTCTACTAGCCAGCTAGTCAAGGTAGCCTATCACCCCAGCTCACATAAATGGATGGTGGATTTTCCATCAGCTAGTTTATGACACCACATTTTTGTGTGTTTTGCAGCAAATATGCAATTAGACACTGTTATTTCATGGGCCACCTACCACCAAGTTATGTTATCCTGTCACAACTCTAATTAGCTCTCAAATGAAGACCCCATAGTATGGAAGAAATGGAGTATATATCATTCAACTAATCTGAAGGAAAAGTAAGCTTTCCAATGTGACTCATCACCTCAAGCTGCATATCCTGGGGGAAAGTCCCTTTCCTACTACTCTTTTTTAGAAGTCAACTGCCAAAAGATCACAGAATCATAGAATCGTAGAACAGTTAGGGTTGGAAAGGACCTTAAGATCATCTAGTTCCAACCCCCCCTGCCATGGGGAAGGATACCTCACACTAAACCATCCCACCCAAGGCTCTGTCCAGCCTGGCCTTGAACACCGCCAGGGATGGAGAATTCACAACTTCCTTGGGCAACCAATTCCAGTGCCTCGCCACCCTTACAGTAAAGAACTTCTTCCTTATATCCAATCTAAATTTCCCTCGTTTAAGTTTGAACCCGTTACCCCTTGTCCTATCACTACAGTCCCTAATGAAGAGTCCCTCCCCAGCATCCCTATAGGCCCCCTTCAGATACTGGAAGGCTGCTATGAGGTCTCCACACAGCCTTCTCTTCTTCAGGCTGAACAGCTCCAATTTTCTCAACCTGTCTTCATAGGGGAGGTGCTCCAGTCCCCTGATCATTCTCGTAGCCCTCCTCTGGGCTTGTTCCAACAGTTCCATGTCCTATTTATGTTGAGGACACCAACACTGTACACAGTACTCTAAGTGAGCTCTCACGAGAGCAGAGTGGAGGGGCAGGATCACCTCCTTCGACCTGCTGGTCATGTTCCTTTTGATGCAGCCCAGGATACGGTTGGCTTTCTGGGCTATGAGCGCACACTGAAGCTGGCTCATGTTCATTTTCTCATTGACCAGCACCCCAAGTCCTTCTCCGCAGGGCTGCTCTGAATCTCTTCTCTGCTCAACCTGTAGCTGTGCTTGGGATTGCCCCAACCCAAGTGTAGGATCTTGCACTTGATATGGTTAAACTTCATAAGGTTAGCATCAGCCCACCTCACAAGCGTGTCAAGGTCCCTCCGGATGGTATTCCTTCCCTCCAGTGTATCAACCAAATCACACAGCTTGGTGTCATCAGCAAACTTGCTGAGGGTGCACTCAATCCCACTGTCCCTGTCAGCAATGAAGATGTTGAACAAGATCGGTCCCAACACCGATCCCTGAGGGACAGCACTCGTTACTGGTCTCCAGCTTAACATTGAGCGATTGACCACAACTCTTATTGTGCAGCCATCCAGCCAGTTCTTTATCCACCGAGTGATCCATCCAACAGATTGATGTCTCTCCAATATAGAGAAAAGAATATCATGTGGGACAGTGTCGAATGCTGTGCTCAAGTCCAGGTAGATGACACCAACTGCTCTACCCCCATCAGTTCTGTAGTCACATCATAGAAGGCCACCAATTGGTCAGGCAGGATTTCCCCTTAGTGAAGCCATGCTGGCTGTCACCAAGCACCTTGTTGATTTTCATGTGCCTTAGCATGCCTTGCAGGAGAATCTGCTCCAAGACTTTGCCAGGCAGAGAGGTGAGACTGACTGGTCTGTGATTCCCTGCATCATCCATTTTCCCCTTCTTGAAAATGGGGGTTATATTTCCCTTTTTCCAGTCACCGGGAACTTCACCTGACTGCCATGAGTTTTCAGATATAATGGACAGTGGCTTAGCAACTGCATTTGCCAGCATGGACTTGTGTACATTCAGGTTTTTAAGATGGTCTTGAACCAGATTCTCTCCTACAGTGGGCACAAGGTCTTCATTCTCACAGTCCCTGTGTCTGCCTCCCAAGACTTGGGTGATGCGGTCAGAGCCTTTGCCAGTGAAGATGGAGGCAAAAAAGTCATTAAGAACCTCAGTTTTCTCCAAATCCAGGCTAGCCAGTTTTCCTGATAGCTTCCAGAGAGGGCCCACGTTGTCTCTAGTCTGTCTTTTACTTGCAATCTACCTATGGAATCCCTTCCTGTTATCTTTCACATCCCTAGCCAAGTTTAATTCTAACTGGGCCTTAGCTTTCCTAACCTGGTCCCTAGCTTCCCGGACGACATCCCTGTATGTTTCCCAGGCCGCCTGTCCTTGCTTCCACCTTTTATAAGCCCCTTTTTTCATTTGAATTTTCCTCAGCAGCTCCTTATCCATCCAAGGAGGTCTCCTGGCCCTCCTGCTGCACTTCCTTCTAGTTGGGATGCAACACTCCTGAGCTTGTAGTGGGTGATCCTTGAACATCAACCAACAGTCTTGGCCCTCCTGCCCTCTAGGGCTATATCCCATGGAACCTTACTAAGCAGGCTCCTGAAGAGGCCAAAGTCTGATCTTTTGAAGTCCAGGGGAGTGAGCTTGCTGCACATTCTTCTCATTGTCCTGAGGATCTCGAACCCGACCATCTCATGATCACTGCATCCAAGGCTGCCCTGAAGCGTGACATTTCCAACGAGCCCTTCCCTGTTGGTGAGCACGAGGTCAAGCATGGCACCTATCCTTGTCGTCTTCTCCATTACTTGCAGAAGGAAGATGTCTTCCACACAATCGAGGAACCTCCTGGATTGCTTATGCTGGGCCATACCGTCAATCCAACAGATATCAGGGTGGTTGAAGTCACCCCTGAGAACAAGGACCTGTGAGCGTGAGGCTGTTCCTGTCTATTTACAGGGTGCTTCATCCAGACTCCTCTTGACCATGCGGTCTGTAGCAGATCCTCACAGTAATGTCTCCCATTTCTGTTCTCCATTTAACCCTGACCCACAAACTCTCTGTTGACTGCTCACCTGTCCCCAGACAGAGTTCCATACTCTCCAGCCTATCCCTAACATAAAGGGCAACTCCCCCTCCGCGCCTGCCAGCCCTGTCTTTTCTAAAGAGCCTGTTACCTTCCATTCCAACACTCCAGTCATAAGAGTCATCCCACCATGTTTCTGTGATGCCTATTATATCATATCCCCATAGACATGCAAACATCTCTAATTCCTCTTGTTCCCCATGCTACAGGCGTTTGTACAGAAGCATCTGAGACAAGCTCCAAATGAAGCCGGCTCATTGGCTGGGGTGGCTGGAATATATCTACATTGCTCCAAGTATTTATTATAGGTGCTGGCAACTGACTGGGTGTGTTGGGATGGAATGATGACTCCCTCTCCCACTACATCTAGTTTAAAGCTTTCTTGACTAGCCTGGCAAGCCTCCTACCAGACCAGCTCCACCAGCCCCCAGTAGACCTGGCCTACTAAATTGAGTCCATGTTCTAGGTACTCAAACCCCTGACTATGGCACCACCCTTCTAACCATTTATTAACATGGCCAATGCTCCCAGCCTTTTTAAGGTCCTCCCCTTTATCCTGGAGAATTGAAAAAAAAAGACTATCTGAGCTCCAGAGCCCCTAACCACCTCTCCCAGGGCTCTGTAGTCCTTCTTTATGTTCTCCGGGCTGCTGCTATCTATATCACTAGCACCCACATGGATCACTAGAAGTGGGTAACAGCCAGTGGGACTTACTAGAGCAGGCAGCCTCTCTGCAACGTCCCTGATCCATGCCCGTGGTAGGCAACACACCTCCCTTTAGACCGGGTCAGGCCAATAGATGGGTGCCTCTGTTCATTTCAAAGTAGAGTCCCCTACTACTGTGACCAGCCACTTTTTCCTGCCAGCATCAGTAGTGATCTTCTTTATCGGTGCATCAGCTGGTTGTTCATGGTGCATGTATCCTCATTAGCCCCCGTAGGACAGCAAAGCAGTTCTGGATGGGGACAAGGAAGCCCCTTGCTTTTTTTTTTTTTTGTTTGTTTGTTTGTTTGTGTTTTTTTTCTTTTTGGTCACTAATTCCCATCTTCCCAGGTTAACGGCCTCCTTCTTTCCTTCATGAGCTAGAGCGGAAGCTTGAGGCCCCTGCACAGTTTGGGCCTGGAGCAAGCACTCCTGCTTTCTCTCAGCTTCCCTGACACCTTTCAGCCTATTGACAGCGCCCCGCAGCTCAGCCACCTCCTGCAGGAGGGCCTGCACTAGGGAA